ATGTTTTATGTCCATCTCAGAAATGAGTATATAAATAGATGTAATGGTTAGTTGTAAAATATCGAGTGTATGCAAGTTCCTTTGTGTACAAGTATTTTCAATGTGTCTTTACTATCTGTTTGTTTAAAATAAAAATATTTTTTGTTTTTCTGAAGAAAAAAAAAGAAAGAAGAAAAAGAGTCTCCAATTTGCCAACTCCGACGCAAGCGTCAAATTCTCTTCAATTAATTATTCTGTTTATATAAAACAGCATCACCCACGTGCTGCCTCTGCAATTTACAAATAAGGTGAATTTATTCTGTTTCAACATCAACATCAACATCAACATCAACATCAACAACACTTTTATTCCAAATTAATTAGGGAATTTATTCTGTTTATAAACTATTATTTAATAAAACATTTTTTTTAACGGCTATGATCATCTGAATCCTGAGTTATCCTATCTCAGTTCGTCTCCTTTTCATTATTCATTTGATTTTAAATGTGTGAAAGCAGAGAATGGTTTATCTAAGTTGTTAACACAGTGAACCCACCATGTTGCAGCATTGATTGAGTTCTGAGGAAGTTGTTGTGGTTTTCTCTGTGGCATAAATATAGCTGAAATTCAAACTTTGCTAGTGATAAAACGTGAAAATAATTAAAAATGCAAGACCCATAAGTTAGCTTTGAAGTTTGAATATGCTTTTGGACGGAGCAATGTTTTGGTGAGATGTATTAATTGGTGCTTTTATTAGTTTATGCCACAATCAAATTTATTTGGTACGCTTCGTTCTCCCAGCTTATGGTAAAACTCTATATAAATAGGTGACGAATGATAATTACATAATAATGCATATTACGTACATAATATCAGTACTCATGCATTAATAAAGTCTATTTTAAGAGCACTTTCGGTTGGCGTGCTTAATAAAATATTTTTGCTTTGAATAAAAAAAAGTAATGTCCGTTTTCTCTGTTCTTGTTATGGTAATTTAATTTTAAACCGTTAATTAAGAATCTTCTGTTTCAAGTTACAAATTGATCAAATTCAACTAATTCGAAAACATAATTTTGTCAACTACAGAACTAGTTGATGCTCGACTATGGCAAGTTGGTAACTGGTAACTAGTGACTTGAACATCATCATACTCTATCTAGTGGCAACAACAGTTTTTACTTGCACATCATCATACTCTTATTTGTAATTTGGACATTAGTTTTAAGTACCTACACACTACACAACAAGAATCAAAACCACGTGGATTCAGGAATAGTACCTTGTTCCTGCATAAAAAAAAAAAAAAAAAGCTTGCACTTGGCGGTTTTGGGTGACACCTCACAAATGTGTCAGTTCGTTGGTGTGACGTTGCTTAAGCAAAGAACCCTTTTTCATTCCCTCGCAATAACATCTATTTATTCCCCACTTATGCATCTCTACTTTTCCTCACAAGTTAAAGTCTCCCTTGCTCTCTCTCTTTCTCTCTCTCTCTCTCTCTCTATTAAGGTGTTACTCTATTTAACATTCATATATCTTTTAAGACAGAAAGATGAGTCTTTTGGGGCTTCTCTTGGTGGGATTTCTCTCTTTGGGATCATCTGTCTATGCGTCCAGTGATGGTTGGATGAATGCTCATGCAACCTTCTATGGAGGGGGTGATGCTTCTGGCACAATGGGTGAGTAACACTTTACAGTTATGTGACACACAATGTGTCCACCCTTTGGTTTTTATGTAATTTTTATTGCACTTTCTTTGAACATAGCATAGGTTGATTGAAATGATATATTATATAAACCTGTGTGTGATTTATGCTTTGTTGCAGGTGGGGCTTGTGGATATGGGAACTTGTATAGCCAGGGGTATGGGACTAACACTGCTGCTTTGAGCACGGCCTTGTTCAACAATGGTTTAAGTTGTGGGGCATGTTTTGAGATTAAGTGTGTTAATGACAAAAGGTGGTGCCTTACAAGCTCAATTGTGGTCACTGCCACCAATTTTTGCCCACCAAACAATGGATTACCAAATAATGCAGGTGGTTGGTGCAACCCTCCTCTTCACCATTTTGATCTTTCTCAACCTGTCTTTCAACACATAGCTCAATACAGAGCTGGAATAGTACCCGTGGCTTATCGAAGGTAGTTCATTTTTCCTATTCTCAGTGTCTCTTTTGGAATTTTGTTATTAAATTGTACGCACTGCTTGAGTCATCAAATGCCTTATAAAACAAAATCTGATAATTGTCGTTTCTGACACATCTAGCCACTTTACCCTTGTCTGAAGCAATACTATAGAATCTTTTTTTCCTTTTTTCTAATTATGGTTTTTGAGGCTTTTACTTGCCTAGTAATATTGTCCACAAGAAGACACAATTATAATTAAAGACTAAAGACAATTCACGTGATCTTTTTTCATGACATAATTCTAATGTACTTTTTCTTGTTTGTGGTCTTAATATATAGCACGGACTTAAGTATTTCCTATCTAAGTCTAAGAATGTCTTTTTAATGCTGGAGCCTTAAGGGGACTTTTCCATCCAAAATTGAAAGTTCTTAGGATTCTAAGATTGTTTTTCTTTTTCTTTTTTTCCCTCAAATTCTTAAATTCTTAGACAAATAGATTGTATGTATTCGCTATGTCAATGTTTTGATATTTTGTAGCTAGGAATATATTCCACTGGTAAGGTAACCACACCCCCTTTTATCTTGATACCTTAGTTTGCTACTTTGCAGGGTTGGTCCTTGTTTTGACCAAGCATTTGATTCTTCTTCTTTGACTGTTGATAATGTAGGGTCCCTTGCCAAAAGAGAGGTGGCATAAGATTCACCATCAACGGCCATTCTTACTTCAATCTAGTCCTAATTACCAACGTTGGTGGTGCTGGTGATGTTAATGCAGTTTCCATCAAAGGTTCAAGAACTAATTGGCAGCCAATGTCTAGAAACTGGGGTCAGAACTGGCAAAGCAACGCTTACCTCAATGGACAGAGCCTCTCCTTCAAGGTTACCACTAGCGACGGTCGAACCGTGGTCTCTTATAATGTTGCACCTGCTGGCTGGTCCTTTGGCCAAACCTTCACAGGCCTTCAATTTCCTTAAGAGACACAGAAGAACACAAACCCTTCATATTTTGTCATTGGGAGTGTTGGTAGCTATATTTATTGTGTTTGTTATACTTAGTGATATAAAACAGGTATAGTTTGTAATAGAAAGGGAATATGATAGTGATTGGTGAGTTTTAGGAGCAAATGAAAGGGGCTTATTTTAAGATAGTCCTAGTCATTTGAATTGTGTTGTGAGGAACTGTGTTCTGTTTTCAATTTGAAAAAGGCAGAGACAGTTTCGATAGCTGTGGTGGATGTTTACGGTTTACCACCCTCTAGTTTCGTTTGTTGTGTGGTTCTTGTTATCTATGAAAATGAAGATGAAAATGTGAAGCATGATATTTGCTAGCTTAACAAGAGAATAGCATAGAAAAGAAGAAGCAATTTTGCTTCTATATGAAGTCATTGTCTTGAACTTTATTTAACTCAGTGTAATAGTGAAGGTATGATATGAATGAATAAA